CAGTTAGGTCTGCATAGTTTTGCTTATAAATGTGTTTAACTATGTACCAATGTTCATGAGGTCAGCATATGGTTGCTCATGTAAACTGTATATTAAAATTTGTCTGCGTTGACTGTGAGCTAGGATACATGAGGTCAGCATATGGCTGCTCATGTAAATTGTTTGTTAAAATCTGCCTGCATTGACTTGACCTAAGATACATGAGGTCAGCATATGGCTGCTCATGTAAATTGTATTTAAAAATGTGCCTGCATTGACTGTGATCTATGATACATGAGACCAGCATATGGTTGCTCATGTAAACTGTATGTTAAAATCTGCCTGCATAGACAGTGAGTTAAGGTACACGAGGTCAGCATATGGCTGCTCATGTAAATTGTATTTAAAAATGTGCCTGCATTGACTGTGATCTTTAATACATGAGGTCAGCATATGGTTGTTCATGTAAACTGTGTGTTAAAATCTTCCTGCATAGACAGTGAGTTAAGCTACATGAGGTCAGCATATGGCTGCTCATGTAAAATGTTTGTTAAAATCTGCCTGCATTGACTTGAGTTAAGATACATAAGGTCAGCATATGGCTGCTCATGTAAATTGTATTATAAAATCTGCCTGCATAGACAGTGAGTAAAGGTACTCGAGGTCAGCATATGGCTGCTCATGTAAATTGTATTATAAAATCTGCCTGCATAGACAGTGAGTAAAGGTACTCGAGGTCAGCATATGGCTGCTCATATAATTTGTATTCTAGTCATGAGCTCATCATAAATTTGTTTATAAATAGTGTGCATGAGGTCAGCATATAACTGTTTATATAAAATGTATTTAGTCCATGCATGTATATTTTTTGTCATTGAGGTATACATGTTTGGTTCAGGTTTATGCACCCCTTTGTATACATTATATTAATAAACGTTGTTTTTATACACTCTGAAATTTTATATAGTTAATTGTAAATTTGATTATTTTAGTGTTACCATAGTCAATTAAATACTTCTCACAAAAACTCCTTTTTGGCAACTTTCAGTTCAATGTAATTCAAATGAAAATGTCTTTTCCTTGGGTGGCGCTGCATGCGTCATGCAAGCATTTAGCATGCTTTGTGGCCTCTTTTTGTACGCCACCTTCTTGTTGCACAAACTTTGTAATCATTATATATAACAATAGCTGGGATAAGCACTAAGTTGCAATGTAACATATCTAAAATGAAATTATTCATCATTTGACCTTATCCCAGCTTTTAATGTACATTATTGTAATTGTATATTATACATGCTTTTGTTTCACTTCTCGTCATTTATCTTGGCAATAAATGACATATTCACTCAGCTTAAGTTTTTCTGTTTTCCTTAAGTGGTTTAAGCAACAAGAACAAGCTTCAGAAAAGGCATTGAACTTATACTAAAGTGTGTAATTTGTTTAATGAAAAAGTTGTGAATATAAATAAAATTTTATGTTTCATAAAATGTTTTATATGCAAGCTTTTTACATTGTTAATGTCAAGTCAATTAAATTTTGTAGTTATTATAAGTATGTTGTATTAAGGTCGGGTTCAACTTTAATCGGGATCGAGTTCCCAATATTTAAATCCGGTGGAAACACGAGGTTATGGTAATTTTAACCACCACCTCCCTTCCTCCTCCCATGTATAGTTATGTTAGTGGAAAATGTAATTGAGAAACTTTTGTTTTAACTATCCTTACCATATAGGTTTAATGCACTTATTCTTCATGTAAACTGTGTTTTCTCTCTGCGATTTACAATAAATTTGAACTTGTTTTTAAATTATTCCTGTTAGTAACATACAAGTGGCGCCTCTTTTTGTACGCCACCTTCTTGTTGCACAAACTTTGTAATCATTATATATAACAATAGCTGGGATAAGCACTAAGTTGCAATGTAACATATCTAAAATGAAATTATTCATCATTTGACCTTATCCCAGCTTTTAATGTACATTATTGTAATTGTATATTATACATGCTTTTGTTTCACTTCTCGTCATTTATCTTGGCAATAAATGACATATTCACTCAGCTTAAGTTTTTCTGTTTTCCTTAAGTGGTTTAAGCAACAAGAACAAGCTTCAGAAAAGGCATTGAACTTATACTAAAGTGTGTAATTTGTTTAATGAAAAAGTTGTGAATATAAATATTATTCTGTGGAATTGTGGTTCTGCTTGTCTGGTTATAGTTTACTGAATTCCGTGCAAGTCTTTCGTCAAACCATTTAGTGTCAAAGAAACCGGTCAGCGTTAATTTCCCTGTTCAAATCAAACTCGTTAATAGAAAAGAGGTGAAAAGATGTGTTTAAATCCAGGCAAAATGTTCTGTCAGTCCCCGGTCTTAGCTCATTATTATAAACCGTCAAAAGTGATGTTCGTAAATCCTGTTCGTCCGTCAGGGTGTATGAGCTCACCACTACCAAGAAAATATAATAGCAAAAAGGTCTTTTAACAAATAATTTCATTCTGAGACGTCTAAATTTTCAATCAGTCCTGGAGATTTTGTTTTTAAATTTCGGTCATAAAGAGAATCAAACGATCAGGCCATCTAAATAACTTAAAAATTTCTCAATGAACAAACTGGAACTATATAGAATTCCTCACGCATTAAATACCTCCAAGGAAAACATATGAATCATATAGATTGCTTACAATGAAGGGTCGGTAAGAGGCCCTTGAGAATCAGAGTCCACTTTTCTGCATGATCTGAACCTTATTGGAATTTTTTTTGTTGATGACGTCACTTTCCATCTCGAGATATTTAGGATTTTCTGACTTTCAGAGGGTTGGCTTGTCCTGGAAACTCCTCCGAAACAAGATATTGAGTCAAGATTTTCAGTGAAGGTAGAGGAAGGTTGGTAAATTTCTAGATGGGTGTCCAAATCTCTCTAGCGCAAAAAGCGCCGAAGCTCGGTAGTGCTCAAAAAATGTCTCAGAAACATTTCACAAAATTTAATACCGTTTCTTTCATTAAGTATGTTCATAATTTATTAAACCACATAGAAGAAAAGGTGTGCAGAATGATACGAACTTTCATTTGATATCAAGAAAAAGGGACTGACCCCTCAAATTAGGTGATATGACGCATCTAAAGGCCAACCGTATTCCGTATCATAAAAAGACTACACATATTTTTATAACAGCATTTTCTGTAATGAACAATCATTACTGTATGCATAAATTTTTAATTTGAATGGAATTTAGATTACAGTAACATGTCATTTTTAGCGGTCATTATTTATAAATGACCGGTCATTATACCCCACGTGCAATGATTCCTAGGTCATTATTGCTGTAAACGGTATTTTTTGAAGTCATTATTGAGAATCAAATTTGAGTATTCTTAATAGAGGTTTAATAAAGGAAGATATTGACCGCTCCGTATCTTGAGAAATCTTTGCTTGACAGACATCAAACTTGATATACTGGTTTCCATTGAGAAGTACAATGTAGAAGGAGGTCAAAGATCAAGGTTCAAACATAGTAATTATATTTATGAATATTTAAAGAACACTCTGCTTGACAGACATTAAATTTTGTACTCTGGATTTCCTTAAGAAGTTGATGATCCCTATTGATTTCAGATCTTAATGTCAAAGGTCAAGAGTTAAACTGGACAAAGGAATATTTTGAACACTCAATATCTTTAGAACCATTTGCTTGACAGACATCAAACTTGGTAATTTGATGATCAATGTAGATTTTGAGGTGACAAGGTCAAAGGTCAAGTGTCAAACTACTCCAGACATTAGAAGATATTGTTTGCTCAATATTTTGTATATTTTGTGATCACAAGGCCGAAGGTCAATGGTCATTCAACATATAGACACTAGACATAGGAAGATAATATCAGCTCAGTATCTTGAGAACTATTGCTTTACAGACTTCAAATTATGTACACTGATACCCTTTAAAAAGTAAATTACCCTTAATGATATTGAGGTCTGTTAGAGAGATCAAACTATGTATCATATTTACCCCTGACTAGTCTATGACCAATTGTTTACACTCTCATTACATGTATTCTTTATTTATAGTTGTTAATATTGCCACGCCGGGGAGGGGACATATATGTTTCTAAAACATTTCTTATTACTTATAAAAGTAATAAATTAACATACTTTTAATGATCAGTATTTAGTGACAGGCCTATAAACAGCAGTTACAGACAAAATTTGACGAGGTTTCCAAATGCAGTTATACTTTGATAAGTTCTCCCTGCATTTTAAATGAGTGTTGTACACAAGGAAGACGGATTAAAATTTTTTAACCATGACGCCCGATGAAAAATGAAGACAGATTTAAAAGTAGTATACTAATTATGCAAAATAATAATAATAATAATTAATTTAAGAAATGGCCTACCTCCATACATACACTATAACTTATATTAACTCCCTTAGTAAGTATAGCAGGGTGTAAAATTTTGTTCATAAACGCCTTGTCCAATAATAAAAAAGATATAATTATGCTAATCAAAGATATTCGTGGTGGGTTATGAGTTATCACAAATTTAAGGAATAACTGTCTAATTTTTTGGTTTCATGATGTGATCAATCGATTGGCTTGCGTGATAATTTGCATAAACGCGGGAGGCGTTTATGCATAAAATTATCACGCAAGCCAATCGATTAATCATCGTCATGAATCCAAAAAATCTGACACTTATTCCTTATATTTACATGCTCCTGATTCTGCAAATCCCCGTGCTAATAATTCCGCTTCTGTCTCTATTTGTCCCGCCCCGCACGTGATTTTTTTTAACCACGCCTATCGATGAATCGGTAGATTTATGTAGATATAAAGTATTTTTACAATTTGTAATTTTATCTCGGACAAAGACATTGGAAATGTAAATATTTCCCCCATACGGTTTGTGGGTGATAAATTTATACACGGATTATAAATTATAGAGCAACACATCCTCATTTTTTATTGATTTTCCTTGTGATCGGGAAATGAATTCAAATGCAGCAGTATTCGATAAGGAGTTTACAACATGTCGGACTTAACAATGGACTACTGGTTAAATTTAGCCCCCTGTCCCCCTCCATGGAACCCGGGGCTGCTGTACAGGACCCCCTACCCTGTAAACCTGACCGAGGGGGAGGTTCAGAGGATCGCAGAGAGATGCAAAGTCCCTCCGAAGGACACGCTAATAATGAGTTCATCTGTACGGAACACATCGAGTGTGGTGCTTCCTGCTTTAGTTTCGCTGTTTTCTGTGACTTTATTGGGGACTTTGATTGCTGTGTTGGTCTATAGGTGAGTTTTGGGGGAGGATGTATCTAACTATCATAATTAGTATACAGCTGAAATTTTGATAATTATTTTATTCATTTTTTTCTATTTTACATAACGTGACGCCTTATGAAATTAATCAATCTAATCCCTGTTTTCATTAAATATTAATCTTTATTCTAGAGCATCTATGCACACGTAAAAGTTTGCTTGCTAGGCCTACATGAAAAAAATAGAAGCAATGCGTTATAAAACAGAATGTACTATATTAAGGTTAAATTTTAACCTCAAAAAATCGATTTGAAAATTATGACAGTGATTAGTTTATAAGAATCAACATAGAGGAGCTAAAATACTTCTTCCACCATTTTGAAAGAGCTTTTTGTAGTTTCATTAATTAATCAAGATAGGAAGCATTTAAGCAAGATTTCTCTCAATTACTTAGTTTTTAGTCATGAATACAATTAGAGATTTGAACGTCGATTTGAGCTCTGCCCAGTATTTGCAATTTATAAGAGTTTGTGACGAGAGAGAGAGAGAAGGAGAGATTTTGTTGATGCATGGTAGGCTATCAATTTTGTCAATATACAACACCTCAGTTGTTTAAGTACACACAAAGTTTTATGTTTTCATTCGTATATGCCAAGCACCAAGTGCAGGTTAAGTAATTATCCTTCAACGATGCAAAAGTTTTTTTTTTACTTTTTCCTTGCCTTGAAATTCTTAGTAAGAGATTTAGTTGGAAAAAATATTAAAAAGCAGTGAAGGAAAAACTTCAGAAATACTGTAAAACTACATATTCCATAAGTGGTGTGAGTGTGAATCAAATGAGGCTACTAAAAGAAATCGAAAGAACTTTTTAAAAAATCAAAATTTTGAAATAAAATCACTCGCATCCAAACATACGGCTTTTTTAGCACTTTTTTCAACCATTCCACATGATATATTAAAGACCAAGGTTTTTTTTAATATCACAAACAACAGCTTTTTAAATTAAAAAATATCATATCGTGATTTGTCATCTACAAAATTACTTTCTTAAAAACATTCTAATTCTTCACACAAGTATTCTGAAGTTGACATTAAAAAAATGCATGAGTTCTTCCAACAATCTGTTGTAATTCCCATGGGTTCTAATAGTTCCCCTTTATCAGCAGATTTTGTTTTTTTATTCTTATGAAGCAGAATTTATTCAAAAACTTCAATATGAAAAAAAGTGCCTTGCTGTGGCCTTCAAATCGACACTTAAATATACTGATGACGTTTTACCATGGGGTCTGGCACTTCTGCTTCATATTTGGATATTTAATAGAGAACGCCATTGATAGCAAACCGACAACTTAACTTTACGATAAAAGTGTCGACTTCAACTTTACTATCGTCAATTTCCTTTATTTAACGTAAACAATAAAGTATAAAGTCAACTTTTCAGAAACTCTAGCTACGGTCGAAAGTTTTGTGACTTTTTTTAAAAATTGTTAGGCCATGTTTTCCACACTGAACTGATTACGGATTTACAACTTTACCCCAGGCACTTAACCAGCATGGACGTGAATTGTATGCAGAGAACGTCAAGGGCTCTAGAGGCCGCTGGGAGACCCCCATTGGGTCCAGGGGCGAAGTCTCCGGAATCTCCTGGGTTTTACCAATTATTTCAGTCATTTTCCTGCAAAAAATCACGCTTTCTTGTTTTTCTTTAGAAAATAAAAGACTTAGTAATACATGTATTGTTTATTAAAACTTCCATGTAGGTATACATGTAGCTGAGGCTGAATATTTTCCTGATATTTTGGTATTGTCTTCCCTGTTTGTAACGAGCAACAATTATAATAATGTTACTAACAAAAAATTATATTGTATTTTAAATTATATACTAGTTTTTCATAGCATTCAACGACGTGATTGAAATAAAAATAAAAAGATCTTTTTAAAAATTATCAACGCGTCACAGAACAATGACATACTAAGGAATGATTTATTTTGATTCGGTAACCATAGTATTTAGTAAAAGATTTGGTTATATAGACATTATGATACGGAATTCAAATCGGAAAAATACGACAAAAAAAATAAATTGAAACACAAATGATTGCTGGATGTTAGTTTTCTCTCCGAATACCTCTCTCTCTTTTTCCCCAAGAATTTTTGTTTGGAAACTTGCGTACAGGCAGCTACGCGCATGATTGACCCAATCAAGAAAAAGGGCTCAAGGCAGGTGTGACCGGTCAACAGAATATGCTTACTTCTCCGTGGTATCTGATCCCACCTCTGAAGTTTTTAAGGGTCCGCTATTGTTCTACTCTCAATTTGTATTATTTATATGGACTTTTTAAAAGACATTACTGTTCGTTATCTTCATATTTTATCTTTCCATTCCTTAGACGAAAACTTTATAAGATTAGAATTACGAGTGTGTCAACTTTTTTCTTTATTTTTTTAATTCATTTCATACATTAAATCATTTCAGTTTTCATACCTATGCTTCGGGTTTCTCTTCAGTATTGAACAAAATCATAACCATACAGACATGTAGACATAAAAAAATGGCAGGCCGTCAAAACAAAATTCCTACGTTCCCTATTGCTGCTTTGTTGCGGAACTTTGCAAATCATGCATCTGCGGTACGATTTGAAACGATATATGATAATAAGTATAAAATTAACCAAAAGAAATAGTGTTCTTGTTCTTGGATTAAAAAAACATGAAGATCCATAAAGCAAGGATTAGTGTTCATTAGATTTAAGTTACCTATCCTCACGTACACCTCTGGGAATTCTTTTAAACCAGGTCGGTAATATTAAGATTTATCATTTTAAAGATTAGGCCATTATTTCTAAAAGATTCTCTTTGCCACGCCTTATTTGACCATACAAATATGTTTTTCCAACATAAAAATAAATGAGAAGATAACCGTAACGTATAGTGATCAATCTCCTAAACCCAGAAAAGAATACAAATCCTGAACAAGGCAAACAACAGAGGAAGGATCCGGTGCCTAGGAGTACACATCCCCTGTCGACCGGTCACACCATCCTGATAGAAGAAGTAATCCTTAGTCAAATTGGTATAAATCAAAGGCTTAACAATTGGTGGAAAAAAGTCTGCTTTTGTATATTGCACTTTAATACCTTGCAAATCTCGGTTCCTATACTTAATTCTAGTGTTTTTCCAAGAACTTATATTCCACAACAGCAGATTTTTTTCAGGCTTGTTATTAATAATACCAGTGCATAGTTACACAAGTACTGTTAATAAACTGTTTCTTTCCAGGTACAGACACAGGAAACCTAGCACGGGCGATAGCTGCCTACAGCCCATGGACTCTAAATGTGATTTGCTGGAAGAGGTTCAGGACCGTGGTAACAAGGGCTTTGACAATGCGACATACATGTACAAAGGACTGAAGACCGGCATACAGCATCCCGATAAAACAAACACACAACGGCACGCGGGGAATTCGAACAAAACAAAGCAGGTCTTACGTCATCCTGATAACACAAACACACAACAGGACGAGGAGAATTTCGACAAAAGAAAGGAGGTCACACAGAATTCTGAAAAAGCAAAAATAAAGCAGGACCATCAGATATCTGACGACTCGTTCTCAAAGCAGGGGGAACATATTTATGAAAATGTATTACACATAACAAGAACACTGGAACTCTGAAATCTGGCCAAAGATGCCAAAATAACAATTGGTATAGAAAGCGGAGCAGCTCCAGGACAGAGTTTTTTTTTGCCATGAGTGTTAAACTTACATGAAAATTGAAAGTTGTGGTGTTCATTATTTTTACTCCGAACCAAATCAAAATTCACTTCTGATTTCTTCCAATGTTCTTTTTTAAACATATTGTATATATTTTATGTTTTCTATTTTAATTTAAACATATTGTATATATTTTATGTTCTCTATTTTAATAATTTTTATTTTCTTTGAGTTAATAAACGTGAAAAAAAAAATTAAACAAAAAATCGTTAGTTTAATTTGTGTATTACTCATGAATTTCTGAACGGAAGAATTTGTTAAACAAAAGATGATTATTGAATGAAAAATATCACAATTAAACGGGGTTTTACCATAAAAGTACTAATGTTCAAGTTATCACATATTTTTCTTCTGATAATATGATGTCATTCTTATAAAAAATGAGAATGGTAAGCTCCTGTTCTACGAGTATCATTCACTATACTCTATATCGTCTACTGAGAAGGGTTTTTTTTTTTAAAATTTTAAATGAGTCAGTTGATTCCATGATGTTCGTCTTACATAGACTAAATAAATATAATGAAAATATAATTTTTTGCTTTATTCAGTTTAAAAAAAAGCGGATGTGTATTTTCACCTCAAAAATACAAATAAGTATCATTTTTAAACCACGTGTGTAAGGTAAACACTAGTAGAATGAATGAAAATTATAACATCTGGTTAGACTAATTTTAAAACCTGTCAGAGAACCCGGAAAATTTCGGACTTTTGAAAACAAGAACTCTTGACCTCTCAAAGTTTTCCCTCGGTCCCACGGACTTCGAGGTATCGGGAGTTACCCTGTATTGCAATATATCGCAATATGGTTTTCACTCGCAATACCTGAATCTAGTCCTGTAATTCATGAGAATTTATGACATGCCTCTAAATCTAATTCTTAAAATCATCATCTCATGTGTGCCTCGTCAAAATCGGTCGTGGATGGCTATCAGCTGGGTTTTTTTTATTTAAATTGGCCAATCAACCGAGCTAATTATCTTAACCATCATGGATTCAACTAATTGACCAATCAACCGAGCTAATAATCTTCACCACAAGGCAGCGTCAGAAGCATCTACCAAAATTACAACTTAAAGTTGGTGATAATATCATTGAAAGCGTGCAATGTGTGAAGAACCTAGGTGTCATTTTCGATCAACACCTTACTATGAAAAAACAGGTATCCTCGGTCGTCAAGTCATCCTATTTCCAAATATGCAATATTGGACTATACGGCGCTTTGAGACCATGGTGAACGCCGTAATCACTGCAAGATTGGACTATGGTCAAAGAACACACTAGAACGGATCCAAAGAGTCCAAAACACTGCAGCTCGTCTGGTTACAAGATCGCCGAAAAGGGAGCACATTACTCCTATTTTAGCAGATCTTCAGTGGCTACCCGTTTATTTTCGGCCACAATATAAAATCTTGACATATGTCTTCCAATCAATACACGGGTTAGCTCCATCTTATGTCGAGAAACTTATAATTGAATACAAGCCCGCCAGATCACTGCGATCTGAGTCAACATCGCGGTTAGTTATTCCAAAAATCAGGACAAAGACATATAACGAACGTCGGCTCAGTTGGGCAGCAGCGTTTTTGTGGAACGACCTTCCTAATGACATATAACAGGCCCAGTCCCTGAACATTGTTAAAAGACATTTCAAGACACAGTTTTATAGAATAGCTTTTTAAATAATTGGAGCACACATTTTTAGCATCAATCTTAAAAGATTTTCTAATATTCACAGAATTTTTAATGACGCAATTGTTTGTATGTAAGTTTGGAATTTTAATGTTATAATTTCTAATACACATATGTTAAACTACATGTAATAAATCTATTCTTAGTTCTTAAAATATGTTTATTTGCGTTTTATTGTACAGTGCTTTAGAGTAATTTTATTAATTTTCAGCGCTTTATAAATTTATTTTTTATTATTATTTATTATTACTATTTAATCATCGATACTAGGGCGATACCCGGGTATTGTGTCACCTATGTAAACATCAAATTAATATGTCCACTCTAACCCCAGATATTTATTGTTTTCCAAGTAAGTACCAGCTGAATAAATTACACGCTTGATTGGCACATATCTGCAATTAAAACTTCGAGAGATCAATAGTGAAAAACATTGAAATCTGTGTAAAGGGACCAAGGTTTAGGTTCGAGAGATAGAGAACTTTGAGAGATCGGAAGCTTGAGAGATTGGGAGTAAATCTGCTTAGTAATGCAGAGAGAAAAAAAAAACGGGACCGGGATTTTACTTTGAGAGAGCAGGTACATCGAACCATCGAGAGTCACCTGTATGTAATTGTACATTTAATTCAGTAAGATGCAGAAAATAAAACCCTTTTTGTTAAAGTCTTGTGTGCTGCGAAGAGGGCCATCTTTGATTAGGCATTTAGCATCAAGTATTTTTACCAGCTCTTCCTACGTCGCGGTTTTGCTAGTTTTTGTGTTTAAGATCGTAGCTTTATGTAGCCGCTATGCTCTTAAACATGTTGAATGTACCCCTTGACATGTATCTATAGCTACATATCAGCAGACTTTACTGATGCCATATCAGAGTTTATTACATTAGGAAACAGTCTTTGGACATTTATGTTACATTAATATAAAACACATGTTAATACATTCTTCATTTATATATTCAGCTTTGAAAAAACAAGGAATGTGGCTAACTACATGTTTGACCAATCTCTTGTGAATGCAGACTCATATGAATTATCCTTATAATGCTAGACTATACCATCTATACAGTACAGTATCATCAGTGCAGGTATTTAATTTTCTTCACTTGTGTGTTTTCCCATTGAGCAGCAAACAAATTGTCATTTGTATCTGTGCATAGTCCCCTGAGATGACTCAGTCCACAGTCTATGTAACGGAGGAACTGTCCATCCTGGTCTATGATGTGGACACAGTCATTTTTATAATCTGTTGTAAGGATGTGACTCTGACTATTAGTGGTTATTCCTTGAGGACTGAATGGTTCATTCTTTGGAGCAGGAGTATGTCCAGTGTATCTGAATCTCAGTTTTCGAACCCGATTGACCACCAATACTGCTTTAGCTCCCCAGTCAGACACACAGATATCCAGGTTCCTGTTCTCAGTTATGTTTCTGTTATAACGACCAGATGAAAAGAGAGGGTTACCTTTGTCATCAAACTGAATGGTTTGTTTCTCTGTGGAGCCAAAGTAACAAACAACTTTTGTTTGTTTGTTATCATCACTGCTCATGATAACCAAGAGCTCACCAGAGGAGGTACTGCAGACACCATTAGGTTTCCAGTTCTTTAGTCTGATCACCTCCTCTATCTTCTCATTTTTCACAATGTACACAGTTCTATCACTGGTATCAGTATAAATTAGATCTCCAATTTTTGTCACTGCTATGTCTATTGGCGTGTTTCCTGACTTGGTTGTGATTGACTTGAGTAGTGATCCCTGATTGATGCTGAAGAGTTTCATGGTCTTGTCTTTTCCTCTTGTCCAGATTTCTTCATCACTCACACAGGCCACATTGTAAAGTTGTTTATACCCAGTGTCTATGGTGGTTATAGTATTTGGTTCATCAAGCAGCTGTTTGACTGGAGGAGAGAATCCACCTTCTGGTGGTAATATCTTCATACTGTAATAACGTCCATTTGAAATTAGAGAACTTAATTCTAAAGCTCCAAACATTTTATGAAGTTCTTTTTCTTGAATTCTCCCTTGCATGAATTTAGGTTTAGATGGCACAATTTTTTGTGGAAAGTTTTTGTATCTGTCTATATTGAATTTAGTACTGAACAGTTTTGAGAAGTTATTGGAGTCTACAGTGACATCAGCTGAATTGATTTCATCCTTGATGTCAGAAATTGTCTTGTTTATTTCACCCAGATGTTTCTGAAGAGTTTGTAACTGTGTGTTTTTCATCTCATCAACTTCAACTGTAAGTTTTTTGACAAGTTTGTCAATTTCTCTGTGCCAGTCTTCTCCATGTTTTGTTATGGCTGTTGAGAGATCTCCATATTCCTTTTCTAATTGACTCATTCTATTTTGTACATCAGAGGCAATGTCCTGGTAGGTTGGATAAATTGTCTCATTTAATTCATTTTGTTCTTGAATTATTTTGTTCCTTTTTTCATCCAGAACTTGCAAAATTGTCAAAAATTTATGACCTAGATGTTGATCAGATGCAATGCAAATGTTGCATACAGGAATGTCACATTGATTGCAGTACATTTCACATCGTTCTTTGCTATGAGTTTTACATCCAGGGTATTGAGGAGTGGATTTTCTAAGAGGGAATGGGACAATTTCATGTTTCTTGGATTGATCAGATAACATGTGTTCTCCCACACAGGCCTTGCACAGGTTGACAAGACATGTATCACAGTGCATCTGTACCACAGCGGTCTCACACAGGTCACATCGCATCAAGTTCTGGGCACTGGTACGGGGGTCCATTGTTAGATGCTTTTAGATATGAAGATATGAAGATTAACAAAAATATGACAGAGATGTATTTCAGGCCAAAGATTAACAGCTGAATATAGGCTGCTACCTTTGATCAATCAATTCTTGTCACTTTTGAAGATTACCCATAGTTGTTTTAAAACTGAATCAGAATATGAGAAAAATTTTGAAACATTTTGCTGTTAGTATTCAGTTATTATGACTATACATCATTTTTCCTACTTTTGAGAGATATGAAAATATGTGTAAAAATCATAGAATAATTGAAACAAGAGGCCCATGGGCCACATCGCTCACCTGAGCACATTGGCTAGGGAAAAAAACCCCCAGAAATCTGTTCAGTACTGAAAAGTTTATTGGGGGGGGGGGGGGTGTCGGGTAAACAAAGGTTAATATACCTCAGGATGCTTCCATATCAACATTGCTAATCATAGCTTTGCTCTTCTTG